ACTTTACGTAGTTAATGGAAATAATACCATTTGTGATCAATTGGCGAACGGTATTATGTCTACGACGAATATGTCTAGACTTACCGTTGTACATGTTACTTTCCGCCCTTCGTATAGCAGCTTGGCTATCACAGTGAATCATCACAGGCGACAAAGGTTTATTCCAACATGGAATATCGGATAAAAAGTTTCGAAGCCACTCGGCTTCTTCACCAGCTTTATCTAAAGCGATGAACTCCGACTCCATGGTTGACCGAGCTATACAAGTTTGTTTTGTGGACTTCCACGAAACAGCTCCTCCTCCGATACAGAAGACATATCCACTTGTGGAATGATAATCTCTCGAATCCGATATCCAGTTTGCATCACAGTACCCTTCAAGTACTGCTGGATATTTCGAGTATTTTAGCCCGTATTCAAGGGTGTACTTTAAGTACTTCAGTACCCTTTTCAAAGCATTCTAGTGCTCATGACTGGGATTGCTCGTAAATCTACTCAACTTATTCACCGGATAGGCCAAGTCTTGTCGTGTACAGTTCGTCAAGTACATTAGACTCCCTATTATCCGTGAATATTCCAATTGAGCAACTGGTTGACCTTTATTGGCTTCCAGATTTATGCTAAGATCAAGGGGTGTCCTAGACACAGGACCTTCATAGGCATTAAATTTCTTGAGCACTTTCTCTACGTAATGAGATTGTGACAAGACAATTCCATCTTGAGTTCTGATAATTCTTATTCCAAGAATTACATCTGTTGATGTCAAAAATCAGACGATCAACGGTTAAATACGAGTCGAATTTTTTATGTAAAGTTGAAGAAAAAATATAGATAAAAATGGTGTTTGCTCTTTTATTTCTTAGAGAGAGATAGAGAGGAAGTTGGGAGGAGAAGAAAAAAGTGGGAAGAAGAGACCCCCTTCTCTCTCCTATTTTTACATAAATATACTTGCTTCATCATCTTGCAAGTGGACTCATGATAATACATCATTATTTAATGTAAAATAGTTATCGTGGGGGACCCGCTTATAACTATAATCAATTTTGACGGGCATCTGTCTTGTCGGCAATTGGGATATATCCCGGGGGTGGCTTCTTCGAATTTTGTTCGGCTCGAAAACGGACAGACTCTCCATATGGGGACTCGGTCGGCTTTTAGATGATCAGTCTGGTGTACCTGCTAGTATATTTATTTATCTCGTATCTCCGACTCCCCGGTTATTGGGCCGTATTTTATTATTTCGTTTATCATTTAATTAATAGGAGCCAAATTGGGTATCAATAGGAGGCCCCCGAGTTTAGGACATGTTCTTGATTGAACTGTTCTGAAGTCGCGTTTAATCTTTACAATTTGGCAATGTTTTTACCTCAAGATCTCTTGAGCTTCGGATTCTTTTTATTGTGTTAGGATATCACGTAATGAGGGATATTAGTGGAATCACATATATGTAGATGAGCGCAAGTGGCGGAAAATTTTCGCGTGATTCATGAGATCACTTTTTATCTTGTCAGTTTTTGGCGAAAATGGTGATTTTATCGCGATTTAGTACGCAATTTTAGGGTGCTTTAGGACCCTTGAGCGTCTTGTTGATCATTTCAGGCTTCGGCTTGACGTGACGATGATAATAATGGCTTGATCTTTGACGAGTTGAATCGGTTTGAGTGAATGGGCGACTTTTCTGACTGGATAGGGCCTGAATGGCCTGGTCGGGCGATTTGGTACCCGTTTTTTTATGCATGAATGCCTTTTATGTCGACATGAGTGAGCTTAGAGCTCTTTGTCTGGGTGAGCTTTGAGCTCTTTGTTCGATTGAGCTTTGAGCTCTTTGTTTCTTACGAGAATGCATGCAAAATGCGATCATATGTGGAATGCGTGAATGTATGATGAATGCATGTGATGAATGCATGTGAATTCATGATGAATGAATTTGATGAATGTTTGTCAAATGAGATCACCTTGTCGCATGCTTTGTTCGGCCGAACTGCGTTTGGAGTTCGGTTTTTAGTTTTAGGGCGCTTTGGCCTAACCGGGCCCCTTTGTCGAGCCCAGCTTGTGCAATTTTATCGCACTAATTACGATGGCGCATTACCCGTCCGAGCTTCACAATTGAGCTCGACGCTTATTTATTACTTGGCTGAGCCTCGAGATTGGGCTCGACGCTTCTTAGTTATGGGGCCGAGATACATGGTTAAGCTCAGCGCTTGTTTATTATTTGGCCGAGCCTCGAGATTGGGCTCGGCGCTTATTAATTATGGGGCCGAGCTACATGGTTGAGCTCGACGCTTGTTTGTTGCTTGGATGAGCCTCGAGATTGGGCTCGACGCTTATTAATTACTCATGGGGGCGCGTTACCTGTCCGAGTCGGATTGCGGTTTGGCCTTGTCGAGCTTCGCGCTTGAGCCCGCTCTTCCATTCCTTACGTTTTTATGAGGTACCGACCAGGTCATCGTACTGATCCTAGTCGACACCGATCCTTACGTTTTTATGAGGTGCCGACCAGGTCAT